GTGGCGGAAGGTACGTTTGGGCCGGCTCGCGGGCGCTCACGAACTGTCCAATTTATGTTGTCTGGAAATCCCAAAGCTGACCCGATGTACGTGGCGAATATTCAACCTCTCATGTTTTTGGGCAAAGCTTTGTGGGGAGGATGGGCCCCTGTCCAGCAGATGGTTGATGTTTTCCGGAGGTACTTGGAGAAAGATAACTTGGATTGGTCTGACGTCAGAGGCCCCACGGGAGCGGTTATCTGTACGTTGCGTCGGTTGGAGTGGACCCCAGTAAGTGCTACACTTTGGAGAATGCCCTCAGAGATGCCCATTGTGCTCGCGGAACTAAGGACCAGCAGCCTTCGGACTGTCATCGAGATCGGTACTAAGGATCAGCTTGGGCAGAGTTTAGGCTGGGAGTTCGGCGACCAGAGCTTCGCGGGGCCCCAGCTGGACGCCGTGGCCCAGGTTTGCGAGTTCCGAGGTCGCGGACAGAATCTAGAAGCTTCGCTGTTATCAACCCATGTTTCAGGAGGAATGGTTACCCAGGACGAGCTCTTTCAGGATCGACGAGTTCTGACGGGGGCTTGCCAGGCCTGTGGTTTTCCTAAGGGTGATCGAAGCCCTAGGTTATTTGAGTGCCCAGGGACCACGCTGTACAGGCGTGATTCGGTTTTTGGAAGGAACTGCCAGCTGGGGAGCAAGGGGAGCCAGGTGACCCCTTTCTCACTCGCTGCCTCCTCCCCTCGCCTGTCAAGCTCTGCCCTGTGCCCAAGACCCTGGACAGGTGGAGGTGGGTTATCCCACCGCCTGATGGCTTCGTCCATGGAAAGATGTGTTCTGATGGTTCGGTCCTGGAGCCCAAGATCAGACATGTTAGTAGAGCGGGGTGGGCTTTTACAATGGTAAGTGACGCTGGAGATATCCTAGCCAGCGCTCGCGGCCCGCTGCCCCGCCCGCTCCGGGACATATACGGTGCTGAAATATATGCGGTGCTCATGAGTTTGAGGAACTCGGGCCCAAGAGAAATCCTTCTGGGGGTGGACTGCCAGTCCTTGATTGACGTCTGGGCCCGAGGTCTCCATCATAATGTTTGTGACATCCCTTTCGGAGAACTCTGGGAGGAGGTGTTGTCTAGGGCGCGTGATCGTGGAGAGGGCCAAACGGTGCTCTTGAAGGTTCCCGCGCGCAAGTCCAGGTGGAAGGCGGCCGCCATGGGTTGCCCAGCGTGGGCCTGGCACGGCAACCAGGCTTGCGACTGCCTCGCCCGTGAGGCGGCTTCGAATGTGCCGCACAGTACAGTAGCTTCCTCCAGCAGCGGGAGGAGAAGCAGGCCGAGCGGCTCACCTCCCTTGCCCTGTATGCAGGTCTTGTGCTCGGCCATCTGTCTCGGAATCGAATTCAGGATGCTGAACCCATTAGAGCCAAGGGCCGCAGTAAACCCTCGGACATTCTCGTAGTGCCAGATCCCAACGGTCATGAGATCAGGCACTGTGGGAAAGGTTTTGTGTTTGTCGTGTTTTTTTCTCGGGAGCGCACGCATACGGCCCTGGCTTAAACCCCGTGTACTGGCTTGCCGAGAATCGTGCGTCAAACGGCCACATGCTGTGGGGAGGGAGTGAGTCCAGCGCAGGATCTCGAATGTATTGGTGTGCTTGGTGCAGGAGGTTCGGGAGAGCGAAAGTCCTGGGTATCGGGAAACTCTGTAATCGTCACCCAGAGAATAAAGATGCCGCCGTTTCCCTAGGCCTCCTCGAGCGAGGCATCGATCACAGCACCAAGCGTTTCTTCGGTCGTAGCATCCCCATAAAGAAGTGATGAGGGTTGTTTCGACCCCGACCCCCTAAATCTTCTCTCTCTGCTGCTGGTCTCACGCCGTGGGATCTGATGGCATAAAGGCTGAAAGGCTGAAAGGAGGAGGAGGAGGGGTAGGAGGAGGAGGAGGAGGAGAAGGAGGAGGAGGAGGAACGAGGACGAGGCCAAGGGAGGAGGAGGAGGAGGAGGAGAACGAGGAGGGGGAGGAGGAGGAGGAGGAGGAGGAGGAGGAGGAGGAGGAGGAGGAGGAGGGGGGGAGGAGGAGGAGAGGAGGAGGAGGGAGGAGAGGGAGGAGGAGTAGGAGGCCCCGCCGCCGACCCAGCGGAGCACCGCGCAGATGCCTCCGAGAGCGCGCGCGCGCCGCCCTTGCGGCGGAGCGGCCCCAGGGGGGGGCCCAAGGGACCCTCGGGCGGGCAAGAGCACGGGGCCGACGCGGGCAGACTCGGCGGCAGCTCGCGGGAGCCTCCTCGCACGTCGCCGCGGGCAACGTCTCTCCTCACCGCGCTTGCGCCCCCGCGCGCACACTACCACCCCTGGCGCCTGCACGACGCTCCAGGACTGCCTTTATGGCCGGGAAGGTGGATTCACCTGCCTCCCACGAGACGGGAGGTTCAAAAGCTCGAAGCCGAATGAAAAGAAGATAAGACGCAATGGGCAACAAGAGAGACGAGTCGGAGGGGGCAATGAGACCGAGGCGACGGATGGGGCAGGCGGGAATGGAATCAAGATGCAACAACGTGGTGACCAGACCCCACAGCCGTGGGCACGCCCAATAATGGGTGAAGCAGTCAGGTGCATTCATACATCCTAGCATACATTGTTTCAAATTATCGTCGTGCATTCTGAAACTGGTTATCCACGCGCCAGAGAAGGTCCGCCATGCGGCATTTCTCAGGGCGGGCGGGAACTTCACTACCTCTTCTTGCACGGAGCACCAGCAAATTCCCTGAATCAAGCGTTTCTGAGCAGGGTGGTACCTGCACAGGCGGGAGCTCCAGTCCCGAACGAGGCTCCCAGGGAAAAGGACGCCCGAAAAAGTGTTGTGCAGAGCTCCTTGGATCTTAAACTTCGGGGACGGGCGCAATTGCTCTCGCCGTTCTTGCTGCAGTCTACTCAATGTTTGAAGCGAGGCTGCACCAGCAGCTTTATACTCAGGAATCGTGGAAAATCCGTTGGCAGCTAAACTTAGCTGCTCGGCGAAAGCGGGAGCTTTCCAGAAGCTTGGATATCGTTTCTTCAGACCGAGGTCTTGGAGAGAAAGGCACCTCTCAGCTTCCCTCTCCAACATTTGAAGCAGGGGCCTCCACTCTGGGAGGGTCGTCACTGCAGATCGCATTAAAGTGGCAGCACACATTGATTCAATACTATCGATTTGGGGCCCTCCCCAGGACCTGAGTTCAACAAGCGGGGCCAGGGACAAAGCACAGTTCGGGAGAGCAAAAACGGAGGCCAGGGAAGCGTGCTCAAGACGTCGCAAAGAGGGAATGCCAGGGAGCTGGAGGGGGAGCTGGGCGAACTGGGCAACATAAGAGAGCGTGCTTATGGCCCTCTTATTGCATAAGTATTCGGCAACTCCTGTGGGGCATCGCTCACGAGCGATCTGAGCAGCTCGGGTGGACCATTTCTGGATGGGCTGGATCCAAGCCTCACGCGAAGCCGCGGGACCGAGGATGAGGCCGAGATACTCCACCATCTCAACAATATTAAAATCCGCCCATTCGGGAATGTTATTACACAGCCAGGATCTATACAACTGGGCACGGAATTCGTCGAAGGGTCCTGAGAGCGGAACTATATGGCATTTACTACTCTTGAGCTTCAGATGAGCGAGTTCGCGACTGTGATCGAATACCTGCTTCAACTGCTTCAGCTGCTTGATCTCAGCTACTACAGCTCCCACATCGTCTGCACAAGCTTTCGCCGCCGAAATCTGCCGTCTCCTTCTCCCATGTGACTCATCTCGGTTGAGCAGCTCTCTGAACTCTGCCATGAAAGGATGACTGCAGATGGCATATATTGCTCCTGACGCTGGGCAACCTTGCAGGATCCCGCTGAGGACCTCGAAGAGGAAAAGAGTTGTCTGCTGATGCACTCCGAAGCACAGCACGTTCTGGTATATGTATTTCATGAACACGAGCATCGGCGGCGGCAATCGAATGTACTCCAGCACTCGAAAGATCCATACATGCGCTACCGACGGGAAGGCCTGGCCGAAATCAAAGGTACATAATGCTGGCAGGGATAAGGCTGCGGACGGTTGCATGCTCACCATACGTGCTCGTGCATCTAAGTCTATGATGTTCACCCCGAAGTTGCGACCCTGGACGAACCCCCTCTGCTCGCAGTCAATGAACTCCCCGAGACGACGAGCGAGATGCCGAACGACGACGCCGGTCAGGATCTTGTTGCTAGTTTGTTTGAGTCCTAATGGTCGTGTTTCCCCAGCTCCACGAATCACCTCCTCCTCATCTCCTTCTTTGGACCCCTTGGCTAAAAACGCCCCGCGTATAAAATTGAATTCAGGAAGTAAACTCCCTCCACCCAAGATCCACCACAGAGCACGATCCAAGACCAAGACTCCCACAGGATTGAACCTCCAAGCTCGATAAGAGAGCCCATCGGGCCCAGGAGCGCTATCGTGTACACGTTCCAGCTGCCGAGCGATGTTCGCTTGTGTGGGGGGTGGAAGATCCTGCAGGTTAACCTTCGGGCCGTACTTCTCGAGATACTGATCTATGGCATTGAGGTCAGACTTTTTCCTCTCGCCGAAGACTGCGCCCCAGTGCTGCCCGAGCAGCTGCAAGACTTCGACAGGCTCGCGCACGACGGCCCCACCGTCCACACAGATGCCTTTGAGCAACATCCGTCGCCCAAACGGCGCCCACAGTCGCCCGCGGATCACCTGACCTTTGAGACGACGACGAAGTTTGGCTCTTGTGCTTTCACTCTCTGTGCTTTGAATGCTGTTTCTTGTCTTGGCTTGCTGCTGTTGGTCCATGGCTCTATGGATCTGGTCAGTGATCTCCGCGAATTCGCTTGCATTCGTGAGCGTGACGGTCCGCTCCGGTACATCGATGCTGAGGAACCTCCTGCCTAAACTACTGCTCGCTCTGATCGTCTCTCCTAATCTGATGTCTTGCCTCCAAACAGCTCTGGCAATAGATTTCACAGTAATGAACCTCGAGAAGAGACTATCTGGCGAGGACCTCAGCATAGTGTTCCTGGCTATCTTCGCGGCCTCCTGCATCATTCTCGTGACGAAATCGAGGGCGAGGGGCGGGGTGAGCGAGTCGATGTCACAAAGCTCTGAAATCTTCTGGAGAACCTCGGAGTATTTCGGGTGAAGGAAGACCTCTGAGGGGATACTGGAATACCTCCGATCTGAACTTGCAGGACGGCCGTAAGACAGCGATACTTGCACGGGAGCATGGTCACTTACTCCCCGTCTGAAGAGAGCCTCGGGAAGGCCAAGCACCTCGCCCGACACGCAGAGCTGGTTCAAGATCCAGCCCGTGAAACTCACAAACTGCCTATCTATCGAGGTGAGTAGCCGATGCTGCGCGTTGTAGTGGGTCGGGTCGGAAACCTGGAGTTCGGTCATCTTCCCGAGGGCTTTCATGAAAATCGGGTCCTGGCCACGCCTGTATTCCTTCACAAAGTTCATCTTCGGGACCTGGGGTCGCTTTTGCCCTGGAGTTCTCTGCGCATCCACTACGTCCTCTTGACAGGGTAGCTGGTCGGCGAAGTTAAAGTCGCCAGCGACAACGACGAGCATGGTTCTTGGCGAAACCGTGGCTTGAGAAAGATCCTCTCGAATACTGTCTGTAATATGTTGTCTAGCTTCTCGTGTTAGCTTGAAGTTGTGAATGTTGTAATGGCTAATCCAGACGTCCCTGCTGAAAACAATCCTGAGATTGAGTGCCCTGCCAGGAACCAAAACTCTGGGCTCAACCAATGGAGCCTTCGGGCCGAGGAACGCGAAGTTCGGGAAGAACGTCGCCACTCCTCCAGCCTGGGAAGACGGGCAATAACTCGGTGCTGCCAGCACCTCCTTATGGTAATGGTATAAGACCTCTTGGATCTCCATCTCTGACCCGTGACTCTCCTGCACCGCGAGGATAGACCCAGGGACCAGAAGCCTCTTAAGTGTACGAAGTTTCCTGTCTCTCATATTGGGGTCAAAGTGAAATAGGGCCCTTGAGTTCCAGGTAGTCAGAGATAGCTTCCAATTCTTCATCTGTCGGCCCTTCCAGGCCGAGAAAAGACGCTGGCTAAAGACACCACTCAGTTGCCACTGTCTCGTTGGCGAAGATGCGGTCGAGCGCGAGGCGCAGGCCGTTGATGTCCACCCCGATCGCCTGCAGGTTCGCGGCGGCGAAGTGCACGACTGGTGGGTCGTCTCCTGGGCGAGCCTCCACCTTGAGAATCGGCTTCCACATGTGGCTGAGTTCTCCTGTGTTTTTGTCTCCAAAGACTTTGATGTTGGGATGGAGCTGGGTGAACGTGAGTCTGGCTTTTTTGAGTGCCAATTCTCTGCGCACCATGCAACTGTTTTTGTCCCCCGAGATGAAGAGCTCGGAGTGTTGTCCGTCCACATCGAGAGCTGCAAATCTTTCATACTGCCCATCTGTCCGCTTGAGGCTCGACATACATTGTGCCACCTTGCGCTCAGCGTAGCTACGGCTGCCTCCAATTCTGATCGAGAACTTCTTGCTGGCGGGGTCCCCCTCGATAACAAAGTCAGATTCCGCGAGATTGTTCCGCTCGAGCCAAGGCTTAAGGGCATTGAACATATTTTGCTTCGGAATGACGTTTCGAGATCTGATGGCCAAAATGGATGGGTCGATCTCGCGGTTGAACGACTGGTCGATCGGCTTCGGCGTAGGTCTCTCTGACTGGATATCACCGAGGAGGGTCTGTAGCCTCGAGATTTGCATCTTGAGGCTGTTGATCTCTGACGTGTGTTGGTTGACCGTCCCTTCGACCGTGGCGATCCGCACCTCCACCTGCTTTGAAATAGCCTCGAAGGACGAGGTGACCTGGTTGGACAAGTTGGCGAGTCCATTGTTGATCGTGGCGACTTGAGCTTGCAGGTTTCTGACTGCGGTGTCCATCGCCTTCTTGGTTTCCTCCATGTGTTCTCGCAATGCATCGATATCACCACCAGTGCGAGCAGCCACACGGCGACCAGCAGAAACCATCTCCTGGGACGGGAAAGTCGGAGCTGCCTCCAACTGCGCTGCCAAGTCCTCATGCTTCCCGCCCATTGCAAAATGCCTGAGCTGGGAAATTGCTTCGGATGCCTCAAGGTCAAAGACCGAGGTCGGCCTGGGCAGGCACCTACTCGACCTCTTCGGGCCCCTCCTGGCGGGGCGTCTTGAGGCGGGGGGTACCAAGTTCCCAAACGGCGACGACTTGAGCCAAAATGGCTACGGAGCTCGCGGGAGCCTCCTCCTCCTCCTCCTCCTCCTCTTCCTCCTCCTCCTCCTCCTCCTCCTCCTCCTCCTCCTCCTCCTCCTCCCCTCCCCTCCCTCCTCCTCCTCCCAGCTCCTTCTCGTGATCGGCCAGTTCGTTCTCGTTCGTTCTCGTTCCGTTCTCTCCGTTCTGTTCTCTTCGTTATCGCTATGTGCTCTTCTCGTCTAGTCGTGTTCTTCGTTATCGTTGTGTTCTCTTCGTTCTCGTTATGTTATCCTTCTTCGTTCTCGTTCTGTTCTAGTAATCTCCACCCGATCGACCTGAGGTCACGATCGCAGGCGCAAATGAGATCCTAGCGCTCGGAAGAAAAAGTTGGAGCTCTACAGGTGATGATACTTTGAGAGCATAATTCTCAATCGACTCAAAATCAACAAAACGTGCGTTCTCCCTCGTTTTGTCTTCAGTCCGCCTCTACCGCAAAACGAAGCCGAAACGAAAACAGCCCACGAAATCGCCAAAACACCTTTTCAGGTCCAGCCCTGGCCTCCCATACCATCTCGTCGGTTCCTGCGGATCGACGCTAGTCGACGCTGAATCGACGCTAGTCGACGCTGAATCGACGCCAGCCGACGCTATCTCACCCACTCCCATACGCCACTCGACGCTAGTCGACGCTAAAGACGGAATTCGGAGGGTGCACTCGGCTCCCATGATGTGCTACCGAGGACAAACATGCAAGTGCAGCATGGGTGTCACACCGCACCCTTGCAAGCGCACTTGGCTGCGATACAGCATCATCCTTGGAAGAGGGCCGGCCATGGATGAAACGTGCGCGTGGACGCTGCTCCCGATCTCCCTCCGGGTCGAGCGATCATGGCCAGCATGCCCAGCACCGCCCTGGCCTTCCAGGGAATACAGGAGGAGGAGGAGGAGGAGGAGGAGGAGGAGGAGGAGGAGGAGGAGGAGGACAGGGGGAGGAGAGGAGGAGGAGGGGAGGCGGAGGAGGAGGAGGAGGGAAGGAGGAGGAGGAGAAGGAGGCAGGAGGAGGAGGAGGAAGGGAATGAGGAGGAGAGGAGGAGGAGGAGGAGGGGGAGGGGGAGGGGGAGGAGGAGGGGGAGGAGGAGCAGGAAGAGGAGGAGGAGGAGGAGGAGGAGAAGCCATTTGGGCGCAAGCCATTTTGGCAGCGACCGAGGCTTAGGCGTCGCGCTCCTGGGCGGCACAGTTTGCTGCTGACTGGAGACGCGCGCGACACGGCGCCTTCCACAGGAGAAAAGGAGCCCTCCTGGCACAAACGACGACGAGCAGTTAGAGGACGAGCTCGATTGTTGTTGGCTATTGTCAAAGCAAAGAATATTCTTCAAGATCATCATTCTTATCAGCAGCCCAACATGCCGGGTGGAAGGTCCCAAGGACCAAAACCAGGTCAAACATGGAGTTGCACATCATGTCATAGGCAAGTCAAAGGACACCACTGGACCTGCAGATGTGGTATGCATTACGACAACAATTACCGACAGGTTGCAGGGCAGTGGACATACCCCAAAGCTCGGCCACCCAGTCGCCCTCGTGTTACAGCAGATCACGACATCAACGACCAAGAGATCCAGAAGTTCATATCGCGAACTGTTCCAGCATCTCGAGCAGATACGCATGATGTGTCATGGTACCAAATGCCTCCACAGCAGCCCAAGGAACGAAGAGAGTTCAGGATCACGTTACGAAAGAAGATGGAATCGTTGGCGAAAATATGTATTGCTGCCAAGGGAGCCAACAGGAATTGTGACGGCACCCTCTTCGAGCTCTCCATATGTAAGTTAATGGACTCTCAGTGTTTCAAGGTCGGCAAGCAGCTGCTCTATATGACTAACATGAAGACCATTCAGACCGACAAGCTCAAAAATATCAGAGAACGAATCAAGAACCTCAGTGCGGAAGAAGTCGAAGTAGAAGAGGAGCTTGAGAAAATAAAGCAAGTAATCGCAGAGTTGAATGAAATGGATACCAGTGATGACGAAGAAGCTCACACCCACGGTGACATTCCTCATGGACCTATTGGTGCTCGGCCAGATCATAGTACTACTGATGTACACATGGCTGCGCCTGCATACGACAGCAATAAGGGAGCAGGCAAAGGATCTGCACCACCGCCACCACCACAGTGGTGGACAGGATCGCCTTCAGCTCCTGCAGTGTGGGATCCAGCACATGGCTGGACGAATGGTTCTACAGCGCCGCCGCCGCCATCAAGCACCAACCAGGACAGTCTCAGTCAACAAATGAATCAGCTTATGTCAGTTGTGCAGGGAATGATCAATAAGCAGGCAGTTGTGGATGACACTCTCACGCGCATGAGTTACATTATGATGCAGCAGCAGCCGAACCAACACAACTCATCATCGACAGTTTTTCGAGTAGGGGGGGATTCTTCGGCAACATTCCCGCCAGCCCCGCCAGAGCCGAAGAAAGAGGAGGTCACAGGCACTGCCACTCCGATAGCTGCTACACCGCCGTCACATGGAAGAGTGCCCAAATCCCCGCCAACTTCATTCGGTGCAGACCATCTCGGAGATGCTATCCCAGCGCCCACTCCGTCCTCAGTGCCGCCAGCTCAGAAGACGCCATGGTCAGCTATGGCAACCGCACATCATCCAGAAGAAGTGCCAGTCCCAGAAGAAGGAATCTCACCGACGCAGCCAGTCGAGACGCAGGAGGATCCGTACTTGAAAGGGCCAGATACAGTCACTTCACCATCTCATCGAGGATTCGGCGCAGTCCCAATCATCGACCTGAGCGGCTCCACCCAGCAGTCGCAGGAGAACAGGATCAGGCAGCGCTCAGGGGAGCGCCCGAGCGATCCAGAGACGTCGAGCCCGCCCAAGAAGGAGAGCAGGATCTACGACCAGTAGGAGTGAAGCCGCAGGCAAGCACTCACAGGCCCATCAGGTGGGGCTCGAACTCAATTTTGTTTTTTGATGCTGACTCATCGGGTCTCCAGGCCCCACATAATCACACTCCATGATACGATGTTGGCCCCATGTCCAGACCAAGAGAGTCAGCAAAAAATCGCCTAGGATCAGGATCAAGTGCTGTAGAGCACGCAGTGTCGGGTAATCTACGCAGCGTCTCCAGCCAACCTACTCAAAGATATTGCAGTTTAGCCCTACTGTTAGAGCAGGCTTGCACTTGCCTTGGGTCATCTTGTGCAATAAGTTTGCTTGCGAGTGTATGTGCCACATCCTTGCTTCCTTCACCCTCTTCTAAGAGTGATTTCCCTGCCTCCGGCCTCTATCTTAAATTTAACAGCGACGGCAATGCAAGCTACTCGACAGGTGAAGGGATCACCTTCGCAATACCAGCAATTAATCATTTCTGTTGCATCTGGCAGTGCTGTGAAGCGAACTCAGGGCACGTTTTCATGAATCCCAGTGAGCCTCCCTCCATATGCGAGAAGGCCCGCGCCGAGCTGGTCCAATCTGAAGCAGATCCGAAACTCCTCCGAACTTGGGATAGGGTTTGGGAGGTCGGGAGATGTGAGATCGCTTGGAGAACTCAGAGCTCAGCCAGTTTTGCTCTAGCTTGCCCGAGATACGCACGACGCTCGAGGCTCGCAAGTGCTCGGCTTGAGAACCCAGCTCAGAACTCTGACCTGACATACTGTATGGATCGAGGTTTACCTGATTTTGTCATTCATCAAATGGCAGAGTTCGTGATGCATGGAGTTGGCAGCCTCACCACTGGAGGATCAGAGCCTCCAATTTTCACCTGTGCGCGAATAATTCACACGCCAGAGCTCAGAATACAGCAGCCACTTCTAGGGCTTCAGGCATCAGTTCAGTTTCCGCACATATCGCATGCTCGTTTACAGCACGCACATGCAGATCGGCACGCGTTGGCTCGATGTGTTTGTATACCGCTACACATGGTCTGCGTGAGCACGGGCATGCGAATAGCACTCTTCCCCCCTAGCCACTTTTGTAAGCTTCCTTATCCCTTCCCTGCACTCCAGCACAGTATCAGCGTAGGATCAGCTCTCAGTCACAATCCTACTCCCCTCCCTGCTGATCAGTTCGGTTCTCCTCACAATGACACAGAAGACATGCAAATATGCACATGTCCAATGGAAATTTTACCTGACATGCTTAACATCATTATCACGCACGGCAACCTAGCATGGAGAACAGAACTACCTCAACATCATGTACCAGACAATGTCAAGGTAGCGCTACAGCTATGTCCTCACAAGCAATCAACATGGCTTGCCAAGCACTACTATACAGACGGCTCAGTAACAAATCAGGAGCTGTCGACTGCAGCTTGGGGGCTAGTGGTCCTAGGTGAAGACGCAGCAGACATATCATATCAAGGGTATATCACGGGTATGGTTGCCGAAACCTGCAGGACAGCACTACCAGAGCTACATGCGACCAGCACGGACGCAGAGTTCGTCGGTGTGGTATGGGCTCTCATATGCATCATTGCCGACATGACGGTGAGAGAAGCATCTATCCACACAGATTCACTAAATGTGGTACAACTACTTGGTGGGCAACGACCTACTGACTGCAGTCCGCTTCCTCTGCTAGCAAGAGTATTGTGGGACATCGCCAGCAAGGGAAGGGCGCTCACGATCGCCCATGTCAAGGGCCATGATGGCCATCCTTGGAACTCTCTAGCGGATCGGCTTGCTGTGTGGACGTCCAAGGAGCTCTTGACCCCATCATTCTTCCCCAACGAGCTGGCTGACGTCACATTATACTCTAGGGCACGAGCCTGGGAATGGCTAAAGCATGCCTCAGGGGATGAGAAGAA